TGATCGAAATTTCGACATGGCCAACTGCCCTGAGCGGACCTTGTGAAATAATAAGAGGATTCGTTTACTGAATTATTCCTCCTAGGACTCTTCTCGCCCTTGTCTTGTTGGCTGATTACGAAGGACAGTGTTGTTCTCGTTCCCTGCTTCCTAATCAGCTCCTCGATTGCCTCGGTAATCTGAATCACTGCACCTAGGTCTTCTGCCTATCTTGGTGCTGTCACGGGTTCTCCCCAGTGATTCACGTCTCGCGGACTTACTGTCACTGTCACTGCCGCTACTGCTTGTGTCTTAGGGGCTCCACCCCTGCGCCTTTTGCATCGCTCCTTGTAGGCCTTCCTTCATCTTTTCTCCCCTGGAGTCTTTCACTGTCTTACCGGTATTGGGTCTTCGGTAGCGGGCTCATCTCTCTCTGGTCTTGTTACCATGGGTTGATTTTCGTTAACAATTTTTGTGAAGAACCTTCACTTGTCGTATTAAATCACGACAGCCAACTTTGAAGATTTCGTTATCATCCCTAACAATTGTATCCAAGCGTAAACTATTGTTTTCACCCCTTTTATCCTAAGCGCTCATTGCCTAAGATAAGGTTTTAAAATTGAACAGAAATAAGGAAGAATCCGTGATTGCCTTTTTCGTAAACATTTGTGACCCTATGAATTTTTGAACGCATCATTTAATTTACTGTGATGAGGATAATCATATATATTCTATGGTACTGATTGCATATGTTTCCTTAATATCCCAGTGTTTTAAAACCGTGTTCAGGATAGTTCTTCCTATATTTTGCCTCAGGAACAGTATGCTTTATCTATGTAGATGATTTATCAATTGGTCTTCTCGATTGTTTTAACCATTTTATTATCTACCCATTCATCTTCTTCACAATTGCAATTTTGCTCTCTCCACTAGAATGAATTAAGAATAATTCATCGCATGATTTTCCTTAGGTCATCAGGAAGATCTTTACATACAGCATAAAATACATGACCTTCAGTAACAACATGTTCATTAATGTCCACAACAGCAATTGCTCTGCTTATATGTTCGAGTGCGTAAAGTGTTGATTTACATTGCTTCTTTCATAATACCAACATATCGTTTTGAACACTACTTTAATTCATTTTTCTTGAGTTTCAGAGTGCTTTGCTTCACCTGCTATGTTCCACTTAATTTAATTGATAAAAATATAATCATGAACACCAGAAGTTACCTTGTTCAGAGTTTATAATGTTCAAACGAATGATGTATGTACGTTGCAGTTTATTTAAAACAACTAGATATACTCTGTTGCAACAGGTTTTGGACTGACAAAATTATTCAGGATGGTCATAAATTGGTTCTTAAAGGGTTGATAAAAAATGATCAAAATTTTTTATTGTCTTGATAGTTAGTCTCCCTATCATCCTCTCATACATTTTAAAAACAAACTGTTTATTAGGGCCTATAGGATTACATCCCAGGCTTCTTACAGAATCATTTTCAACTGATCAATTTGATGAATTCTTTTTACTTATCAATGATGCTGCATATAGTCAGGTTCGTCCAGTTTAAACCTTTTCTCATCACTATGGATGATATTCTTCTACTCCGCAACTCAGTATGATCATAAGCGAACTATTTTTGCGCTTTCATTTTTCAGCATCCAATGGACTTAATCTGAGTTTTCTGTTCCACTTACAAACTTCATCACTTACTATATGTAATGTTTTCACAACGGTTTTGATCACCGATCCTAATACCTTGGCTGTAAGCCTTTTGACTTTGGACCATGAACACAATTTCTAGCCTTTATGGCATACAGCATAGCCTTGGTCTGTAAGTTGCTCAATGGATCTGTGCAAGTTTGATTATTCTTAAAATAATCTCTTGTTCGTTCCTAGAGAGTTGTTTCTTGCTACCCATTGAAGTTTAAACCTAATGAACTTAAAATCTATACAAGGGAAAATGTTTATTCAGTATTATTGGTTATACAACGTTCTCCTCAATCCTTTGCAATTACTTGCATACTCTTATGTGTCAGTTTCAGTATTATTCTTGTTATAACAAAATAAGTTAGTTAGTAATGAAACTGAATTCATTACAAATACAAAAAATAGCTTACATAACGAACTTCATTTTGACAAACACGTAGCTATACTTCATAAATATAGTTTTCTATGCAAAATTTAATACGTTTTTGAGATGGCAGAGTATATTTAACTCCAATTTTATTATTTCAATCTATAGTATCCTCATCACTTAAGTGTGTTTCTTCATATAGTGGTGTGAAAAACTGCGGAAATGCGAAAATGTGGGTTAATTTTGAAAAAACACTAGGGAAATTTCTAAAAATTTCGTTAAATAATCTCTATAAGACAATACTGCTTTAAAAACCCTATGAATTTAGCTTAATAATGGTATAACAAGACAAAATATGAGATACACACCAGAGAAATTACATAACGGAGACTATCGTGATGGGAAAAACTGCGGAAGTGTTTTATTAGATCACCAAAGTATATAATTAGGTAATTAATACCATTATAATGCTGTACTTTATACTAAAAACCACATGTTATCTTTTCAGAGATTTGAATAAATTGTTAGTAACAAACCCTCATGAAGAAACTCTCGAAAAGCCTTATAGATGAGATCAACGATCCATCGAATAGTGCACTGTCCAATCTAAAGCTGGGAAGGAAGCTTGGTTGCGACGAAAAAACTATCAGGAAGTACAGGGCACAAACATTCTCCGGGAGAGTGGGTAGGCCAAGGTGCTTACTTCCAGAGAAACGAACATTGTTTTAAGACATTTCAAGTCTGGTTTACTACAGACAAGTTCGAGTGCAGCTGCCTTTGCTCTTAAAAACTTCGATAAGAGAATCGATAATTCACTGTTCAGAAAAATTCTGACCGAAACCGGATTCAAATCTTAACGAAAGAACAAAGCACCTGTGCTAACTGATGTGCATAAGAAAACAAAAAGAAGCACCGCTTCTTGTACAAGGAGTGGAAAAATTTCGTCTTTTCTGATGAGAGTGCGTTTCGAATCGTTGGGGCTGTAGGTGGTCAAACCTACTACAAAGGAGTTAAAGATCCGACTCATTACAACATGTGATGCGGACTAAGAAACGATTGTTCGGAACGGTAAATGAACCTGAAAACCATTTAGATATTGATAGGTGCCAGGACCGGCGGAAACGGAACAAAAGTAAACTTGAGATTTATTTTCTTCGGGGTCCTCCTCGGTATCCTCCTTGGTTTTTTCCTTCTCATCCTGCTGGTGTTCCTTTTCAGGTTCTTGTACCTGTTTGGCCCCGAAACCAGAAAGGCCGGTTACTACTCTGAGCGCTGAGCCCCAGTTGTCAACGCTCGCAGCCTTGTTAGCCTTCGGTGTTTATGCCTGTTCTCTCTCTTCGTGCGGCTACTGCCACAACCGAGACCCGTGCTCTCTTGCTGGCCCGTGTCGGGCTGGGGCTTGGTCCCTGGAGGCTGGCTCTCCTGACCACCCCCGTTCATTCGTTGGTTGGACTCTTTTTGTTCACTCATGGCAGGGGTTCTTTCAAGTAAATTTTGAGAATGAACAAACTGTATCCCTTTGTAGCATACATTCACTACTATGAACGCATTGTTCTTTTTTAGGGCAGGGGTTCAAAAAGTAAATTTTGCTAAAAACTTCTCTTTTCATGAATCACTAAAATATCGTATAATGTTTAATTGTGTATGCTTCTGTACTTAAATTGCCTTCTTGAATGCTAGAATATTGTTGAGTGAAAGGAGGAAAAGTTCAGGTAAAAAATTTACATCCTTGTTTACAATAACAAAGCAACGACCCTGTGTTGCATTTCACGACAAATGTAGAGGTTTTCTTTTATTAATGTTGAGAACATCTTGTAGAGTGAAAGGTTTATTCATAAGGATAGGGGTTCTTAGGAACCTAGAATATAGGCACTTCCCAACAATTAAAATTCACTGAAGGCATAAAATTTTTAAGAACATGATCTTTAAATACTTGTTAGGGAGACTAAGGTTTCAAAATTATCATGGATAAAATAGAAACGCAAATTTTCACATGACAAAAACACCACAGTTTCGTTTATCCTTATCAATTATTAGATAGTGTTATTATTCAAGGAATCAAGCATTATAGCTAAGGGTTTATTTTAAAAGTTCTGCAAACGTCAACACAATTATATAAATAGTTTTAAAGAAAATGAGTCACTCTAGTAATAAATCCTTTTATACTCGGGAATTTCCCAAATACATAGGTTGCACAGTTGTGTATTAATAAACGTAATATCCTAATATGTGGGAATTTCATCGACAATGCCCTAAAACATGTCTTGTTCTAAGCAGCCGCATTTATTAATGGCTTAAATACTGCGCTTGATCTTGCTTCCAGTGTGTGTTTACAAGCGATCAGAAATTCTTTTCCTGGCTCGTCGCAACAACCACACAGGAAATGCCAAAAGCGCTGGTTCTTATGTGGACTTTCATCCACAATTAGATAGAACCTTCTATCTTTCAACATGGTTTTAAGCTTTAACTGTTGATCAATAAAAATGTCGGTTATCACCCTTCTAACAAAGGTGTCAGAAACAACCGGTACATTAAGGGACTCAAGCATCACCTTAAAGCCTTTTTTATGCAGGTTGGTAAAGTGGTATGTCACACTTTGCCAAGTATTTTGGCTGTTACCAATTTTTCAGGTTTTCCTATGGTGCAGGAACTATCTGAATCATTAGTACACCTGTTTTTAAGGTGTTCGGTTATTGTGATGTGCTCTTTTAATTGCAATACAATGGGGTCCCATTAAGAGCATACACTTTATGTTTTTTACAACATGATAATTGAAGGGTGTTTCGTAAACCCGAAATTCTGCTAGTCAAGAGCTCTTCGGCTACAATATATACGATTCTTCACATATGATGATAAAACAAGACATTTAAAAATGTTTGTTTATAGTCGTTTACCTAATTCAAAGTTCCTAAAACCATTAACACTATAACAACACAGGTTTATTTCTGTTTTATTTTGATATTCAAAATCAACGTTATTACTATCAATATTCCAAGCAATATCACAAGCATCAACATTCCTTTCTTCTCTTTGACTGGCTTTACAGTTCTTTTCTTCTCCTCCTCTTTCTTTTCTAATTTATATACTGGTATACTGTTGATATCCTGAAATGTGTATGCTTTATCAAATACGAATAGTGTAGAATATTTGTTCTTGAGATTAGAGCACAATTTCTCTATTTCACTTCTGGCAACGAATTTGAATCCAGTGGATGTTGTGAATCCATTGAATATCTCTGAGAGAAGATCCTTCCTAATCAACATCGGATGGTGAAATACCATTCTTGAGTTACTCCTATGGGTAGTATATTTCGTTATAATCAGTGATGATATTCCATCTGTAGTGAAATGTATTTTGTGGAATCTGATATATGTATACTTGGCAAATGTTGTATCATTATTGCGTACATCCATTCCTATGAAATATCTCATACCATCCTCCTGAAATGTAATGACATATTTGTTCTTAGTTGGTAGTACAAAATATTGGCCATGGAGTTTTAAAGTGTCCATATGCAATAGTAGTGTTGGCTTTTCCATCATTTGACAATATGCTAGCTCTAATGAATTATAGCTGCTAAAGTACCATTCTGAAATAAGTCTGAAGGATTCAATGCATTCTTTGCAAGCTACCAATTCTGTATTGTTTGAGACGTTTTCATATGGTCTGAAGTCTATAGTATACTCCAATTGTCCAATATCCAATTCAATTGCATCATTCGTAAATAGCATTCTTTTGATCGATAGGTTGATTTCAATGTTATTATGCCAAAAACAACCATGTAGAAAGTATGGACTATCAGCTGTTGGCTTGGTGACAATCTTATACACTTTTGTTAATACCAGAATGATATGAACTAACAGCATATGGGGAATTAAAAATAAAAGGTAAAAGGGTGAATCAAGAATGACTTTGACAATAAATATACCATCATTAAGACAGCGTGTAATCTAGTTGAAATTGTCGACGAGTATATTCTTGGAGTCATTCTGCATTATATTTAATTAGGTTCTTCATCCATAACCTGATGACTAATTACGCGCAATTAAATTTGTCCAGTTTCATAGTTCATAGGCCAATCTCCTCCTACAGATATAGTTAACATATACTGGGAGAATACCACATTTATCGACTTATCATATCAATTCACGTAGTTCTTCGATTTTGAACTGTTTGAGACCATCTTTGTTCATCACTGAGATCTCAATGTTATTTGCAGTCATTTCGTCAGGCATGGCACTTTTAAGAATTTCAACAAGTTTCTCTTGCGTGTATATACCATTACATGCTTCTAACTGCTGCTCTGCCAACTCATTTGCACATCCAATTGCTCGTGCACTATATTCAGCATATGAACCTGATGGATCAATACAGAAGAGTCTTGGGCCCTTATCATAAATTCCTAGGATGATTGAGACACCAAATGGTCTGGCATAGATCTTGTTGTAGCTTTCTTCTTCTGCAAACTTGAGAGCTAAGTTACATATCTGATCTAATAGTTTTTTAGCTGGAATTAGTGTATTGTAGAGTGACTCATGTTCAGCACAGAAATTCCTACACTTTCTAATAATTTCAGTCACATCTGCTGAAATACCTGCAAAGGATACAACTACGTGATCGTAAACCTTGAAATGTTTTCTCACACTTGTGCTTTTCTGCAATGAATTAGAGAGTTTCTTTTCGGAAACAATAAGAACACTATCGTCAATCACAGCTGCTACTGTAGTGGTTCCAAGGTGCATTGCCTTCATCGCATATTCAACCTGTTTGATACGTCCATCTTCTGTGTAAATGTTGACATCACTATCGTAACTCATTTTGGGGTTATGTTTTTCGCATTTTTGGAACAAACAAATTTCTAATCAGCTTTACTTATGCAGATATTCTACACGTCTTAAAATAGACGGATGAAAACTCTTCAGTGCATTATACCAGAATGTGTAGTGAATTGGTTCCTTGCTTTTGACTGTGATTTTGAATAATACTTTACCAAGGTTCTCTGCAAAACCATGCTTCTTTGCAATCAGATCAGCATTTATCTCCGCATTTTGACTCGTTAACTTGTGCAATACCATCAAATATCTATTCAAATACATTTCATAGATTATCACCAGCACAAAGAAGGCGCCAGTCTTAGTAAGTGTCTCATTGGAGTAAAACTCAGCTGCTGAATTCCATAGCCACCAAACCACTGCAAATTCAATGGCCTTGATGACATACAGTGCTAACACCTTTTTATACAATGAATAATCTTGAGAATGGCCTATTTCATGCATCAATACTGATTCAAATTCCTCATTTGAAAACTCCTTGTGATCACCATAAATTTCAATATGCTCATAGGCGCCCCATCCCACCAATGCTGCGTTAATTGAATCGGACTTCTCTCTTTCGTGATAAACACGATCTTGTAAGCTTCTTTCTGTCAAATACTCCTGTACTGCCTTTGAATATTGAGAAATTTCAACCTTCTTAAATGTCAGCAAATCAACGTCTTCTTGAGTAAAGAACTCAGCTGTTGCCTTTATATAGAATGTCAAGTAGAATGCAATGATGAGCTTGGATCCAAATATCCTGAATAGGTTGTAAAAGAGTGCCATGATGAATGGAAGCACAATTGTGAAGATCATCACGTAGAAAACTGCTTCAGATGCAATCGTATCAAAGTCCTTTCCGATTGCTCTTACAAAGGCATTTCCATAAGCAGCAAACAGGCATGTCGTAAGAAAGACACATATGAAATTGATTTCAGCCCTGTTACAGTTCAAACTCCTCGTTCCAAGCACATTCATTTTGTACTGGCACATCCTGTTTGCACATTCTTTCATTCTACTATTTGTGACTGTAAACAACAGCATCGTTAGTAAAAACCAGGCAAATAGTTCTCTGAAAAGTTTGCTGATCTTTTTCACAAGTGCACCCGCCTGCATCTCCCTGAATCCTGGTTCTTTATTGATCAACTCCTGTATTTTATAGCCTGAATAATAAAATATGTTATTCTGCAGCAATGCGCTATAGAACCGTATGGTATCGATGAATTCCACTATCAGAATGATGATACTAATTGCACATGCTACATAACAAAGGTAATTGAACCTGAATTTCATTATCTAATTTTGTTGTTTTTTGTTGAACCTTCTTTGAAACGTGTTTAAAGTGCTACAGTTTGGATTCGCTAATTTTCTCTTTGAATTTGTCCAATCCACCAATAAATAAACCATCGATATAAATCATCGGATACGTAGACCAATTGTTTAGTCTTTTGAGACTCTCTCTCAAACTATCGTTTGTAAAAATATCGAAGCCGCAAATTTCAGTCTCGCTGATGTCATTTTCTTTGCATATTTTTAGCAATTCTTTGGAATATTTGCAGTATGGCTTCTCAACAGTCCCTTTCATGATGAAAACATATTTCTTCTTCTTGATTAGATTACTGATGAATATTCGTGCTATTTGACCTTCAATTTCCTTAGAGTTGTCCAGTACAACACCACTGTAGAATAGTATTGGCAATTTCTTATTTTTATACCTCTCTTCAAAGAAACTTTTCAGAATATCTGATAGACCCAGATCTACTTCAATGTAATCACCAGTGATATGTTCAAGTAGAACATTATACTCATTATTCTTCTCATCATAGAATAGCACAAACTCATTTTCTTGCAGTAATTTTTCAAAATTCATGAAATTGGGATAAAAATATTTTTATTTGATAATTTTATGTAAAATTCCATCACGAAGATACAATATTTCAATCCCCACACCTGTTTTCGCATTCACACACTCACTCAAACACATTTGAGCTATTCCCACACCAAATAACCTACTATTGATTTCTATATAGACGACATCATCCTTTTTAAAATCAGGTTGCTTATCCAAAAATTTCAGAATTCCTGGAATCATCAAATCTGCACCACGTTCTAATGGTTTGATTGCACCATCATCTACAATCACTTTCTTATCTTTCGTTTCATCAAAATACTCACATAGCTTGATATTTTTGTTGTAATACGTGAAGAATAAGATGTTTTTGTTCTCATCCAAAATGACCTTAGATTTGTTGCTCAAGGAATATTTCTGGTATTTCTTTTTGACATCCAGTAGTGTCATTCCACTCTTAATAAGATCTCTAAGCTCCTTCTTGCTCAGTACATTGATCTGTACGACACTTTCTTTATCAAAATAGCGCATAAACAGGGACAAACAAAGTTTTTAATCAACCCATGGAAAACAAAGTCACCAGTAACACTTTCACAGATGAAGGACGTCTACTTCAAACTGAGTATGCAATCAAAAATGTTTCCAATGCTGGCACTGTAATGGGTCTCGTCTGTACAGACGGTGTCATCTTGTTTGGCCTGAATTCTGAGAAGTCTTCAACTAAGGAAAAGATCTATAAACTTGGAGACAATACATATTGTGCAGTTGCAGGTTTATTCGGTGATGCCAATAGACTTGTTCAGTTTGGTAGAATCACTTCTATCGATCTTGAGAGTATTCTTGGAGAAGAACCTAAGACACAAATTCTATGCAAACAAATTGGATCCAAGAAGCAAAAATACACGCATCTGACTGGAACTAGACCATTTGGAGTCAGTTTCCTCTATGCAGGCTATGACGATGGTGAATACGTTTTATACTCTACTGATCCATCTGGAACTGTTAACAGGTGGAATGCCTGGTCAATTGGAAGCGATGAGGATGCAATCAACAAGAACATGAGAAATGACTACAAAGAAATGGTTTCAATGGAAGAAGGTGTCAAATGGCTGTTAGCTGAGTTCATAAAGTCTCGTGAGTGTTCTATGAGCATGGCTGAACGTGTTGAATTGCTCTTCTACAGCAAAAACAAAAAACAGTTTCTAAGTACTGACAGAATAACTGAGATTTTCAAGGAGCTGAATGTTATCATGTAACTCAGTCTGTTTCTACAGCAAATTAAACAAGGAGTTGATTTATTTAGAGCCTGTTGATTTTCCCTCCAGCAATAAAAAACAAAAATATTTGGCCTCATGAAAAGCTTCAGAGCATTCAAATTCCCATATGTATATCTAGAGGACACAAAGGGTAAGTGTCAGCCTGTGTATAAGGAATACGCAAAGAAGCAGCCTGCTCTAAACCTGAACAGTGCTTTCTTAGGCTGTCCATTTTTGCCTGAAAAGAAGCCCAGGGCAGAAAACAAAACAACACTGAAATCGAAGAGACCTCGCAGTAAAGTCCGCTACTGTGAAATCTGTTGTTCAAAGTATGATGATTACGAATCACACGTCAGTACGGCCCTTCACAGGTCTTTTGGGGATGATAACTCAAACTACAAGGCTATTGATGCATTTGTGACTGAAATCAGAGGCACTACCTTCTCTCAGAGACATCCTCGTCCATCACCGTGTGAGCGACTCGACAACCTTTACGCCACTGCGTATCTCGCATCTTCAGCCCACAGTGTCTTTAAGTTATGTAAATTTGAGACATTTGAAACAGAAGGAATCACTGAAGAGGATGTTCTCAATTGAATCATCGAATAAATATAGCACAGGCGAAATTGTTGACTAATTTTAGCCCATGAGAAATTTGAAATTTCATGAGAAGAAATTGCTAAAGAAAGTGAATTTGGAAGAGTGGGACAAGACAAACACGAAAAGAGAGCAGCTTGTTACCACAAAATACAAATTGCACAATAGAGAAACTTACATGGTTTATAATCGGATTGTTGGCAAAATTAGAAAACTGACGGAATCATTGGCTCGTTTGGATGACACAAATGTGACTAAAAAGTATCTAACGAACAAAATGCTGAATAAGTTGCATGAATTAGGAGTTATCCCAGAAAAGAAACTTTCAAACTGTATTAAGGTCACTGTGAGTGATTTCTGTAAGAGAAGACTTCCAGTTGTCATTGCTCAACTCAAAATGGTTGAAAACTACCAAGATGCAGATAGATTCGTTCAACATGGTCACTTCAAAATTGGAACCAAAGTTGTACGTGATCCTGAGACATTGATAGACGTAAACATGGCTCAATACATCAAATGGGCAGATAAGAGCAAGATTAGAGAGAAACTCGCTGAAATCAATGGCACATACGACGACTACGATAATTTGTAGATTGGTTTTTTATCCCTCATGTCAACAGAAAAAGAAGAATGCTTCAAAAAGCATACAGTGGATCTCAGCGATTACCAAATGGTAGATTTCAGGGAATATGAACGATACGTGAATAAGACTGTTGTTGTAGTTTTAAAGAGTCTCCAATTTCTTTATGGCTCACTCAAATCATACGACCAATACAACAACATTTCACTGAATTTCACTACTCAAAGAATATTTCACGAAAATACTTATGCTGAAAAGAATCTTGGTCTAGTTTCAGTTCGTGGTGAAAACGTAGTAGTCATTGCCGTAGCTGAATTCGATTTGGATGGTCTTGAAAAGGTTGAATACAACCATCTCGAAACAAAACTCCTGAAATATCTGGATGATGTCAACAAATGATTTATATCGCTCTTTTTATGATGCTTTCCAATTCTTCTGCTCCAATTTCATCTAATTTCACCCCATCCACAATCTCATCAGCACATTTTGCAATTTGATCAGCAAAGGCCCTTTTATCGCCTTTCTTCACCGACTTCACCAAAGCATCCCGCAATTCATTCTCACCCAGCACACGCAATTCCATTTTACGTAATATTCCATGAAACAGTTCTTCAAACGAACATGCCTTAACTTTCTTGACTTCCACATGATGATCCTTCTTCTGATTCTTTTTGGTTAATTTCAGGTAATCGCCCACATTTGCAATTCTTCCTTCAACCAATTTATCCAATTCAAGTCGCTCAAATTTGCAACCATTAGGACATTCAACTCGTAGACGAAGCAGTGGAGCCATCTCGTTCTCTCTCTTTGAATCCATCTCCATCAAACTAATTTCAACAAAACGAGCCAATTTTCTCTTAAAATCATCTTCATCCAGTCGCATAGAATCCATGTAAAATGGTCTAACGGATTTCAGCTTCTGTCTCGTTATTCGTGCACTTTTCCCTTCTAATTCAACTAAATAGGCGTACTTATCACCACGTTCATCTAAACAGAGACTCGTACGCACAGAGCTGCCTACTTGGATTATTTCAAAGTGTTTTCCTGTGACTTTCTCACTCAAATGCTCATGGCCAAAGATCACCAGGTCAAACTCACTTGGAATGTGCTCTAATGGCACGTACATCCCCTCCTTGTACGCCCTGTTCTGGTGAAGCATCAGAATATTGTAGTTATTGTTGCATAAGTTATTGTAATAAATTTTGTTTGTCTCGAGCATTCTGAACAATTTGGCGTCTTTGACGTAGCCCAAGGCGTACAGGGCAACTGAACCCAACTGAATTGGCTCAATCTCAATTCCATCGCATGCCTTGTTTCTTCCAATATATTCCAAAAGACCAGATGAATGCATTACGTCCATAGGTGAGACTGAGTTGAATCCACTTGGGTCATCGTGGTTTCCATGGATCGCCAGAATCCGAATGGGAGTGGTAGCTTGGAATTGTTGGAGAATTTGAAGTGTTTTGTTGTACGTATTTCTGCTCGGTTTATTGTAGTGGAAGAGATCGCCACCTTGCAGAACCAAATCAACCTTGCTATCAGCAGCAATTCCAAGAATTTCCTTGAATGTGTCAAATGAATCATTTCCCCTGATTGGATCAGTCTCGCTGTATCCCAGATGATTATCTGAAGTCACTAGAATTTTCATGGGCTTATTGATGGTAATTCCATTTTAGCCCCAAATGGTAAAGAAAAATGACAGCTTCCATAGGTCACTTTTAGGACACGTAGTACTACTCTTTGTTCTACCAGTGTTCTCATTTCTGGTCTGTATGCGACTTAATGTCTCAGCAATGCCAGCTACGAATCTATCTGTGCTACTCTTTGTCATTGTGCTGCTTAGAATCACGTGGTTGACTACCAAAAAATATTCCAAAAAAAGAAAGCCCCTGAAAAAGATCCAGAAAGAGAAATGATTAATTCAGTTCAGTAAATAGAAACCAGGTAGACTTTTGAGTTCCCTCTTCTTCTCTACCATCAACAGCTTCTTCACAGTCTCCCAACTGTGTCTGACTCTTCTACTGAATCCTGAAATAGGTCTGAAATTGCACTTAAGCCACTGCTTAGTATCTGGATCTGATGGATATCCACTTCCACAACTTTGTTTGTCAGATGCATAAAGTTCAGAATACCCCAAATCAGTCCAATGACTTCCTATCATCCTCCTATTTCTGGAATCATCTTCAAAGTGGGCATCTCGTATCACTTTTGCCACAATACTGGCACCTGAAACCACCTCATACTTTGAATCAGCCTTGTTCTCCACCACAAAATCATATCCAAACTTCTCAGTCAAGAATGCCTCATATTTCTCGTTGTTTCCTAGTCCATCAACATAAACTCGTTCCACAGAGCCACATTTCTTTCTCACCTCTTCCAGAAGTGCCACTACCGCATCTCTTGCTATCTCATTCAAGTTTCTTACTCCTCTATTCATGCACATTGTAATATGCATTGGATCCACTTCAATATACGCATAATCAAATCCATTCTCCAATTTCAGCTCTTCAAACAGTCTCCGTCTCTGTTCTGGCCTCATCTCCTTTGAATCCCTGTACACCCTTCTTCTTCCCTTGTCTTCTATCACAGCCGTCTCCATGATGAATACGCCATATACCATTGGTCCAACCACTGGTCCTCTTCCTGCCTCGTCAATTCCAATAACCACCCTTTTCTTTGTCTCTCTGATTTCTGATACCACTTTCATTGGGCCAAATATTCACAGCCCACAAGAATGACCCAGCTTCCTCAAATCTGATGCTGCCTCAATTACGAACCCTTTCTCAGTCCGCCTAGCACAGATTCCATTCACTGATGTAAATGTACCAATGTTCAAGCAGACCTTGATATCGTGGCCCAGCTGCTTCAACTGTTCCGTGATGATGTACGGGAATGTGCTCTCTACAAAAGTGGTACTTGGCATCAGCTGATCGTGGATTCGTGGAAGTGTGATTGCTTTGTGTAGATCATTCGTCAGGTAGAAGAACAGAATGGTCGAAACAATCGACGTCGGTATTTTGGTGCCACCAGCAGCCCCAATAAGAAGAAGGCTGTTTTCTGATTCGAGAATCGTAGGGGCAATTGATGAAAATGGTCTCTTTCCTGGTTTGATTCTGTTTGTTCCAGGTGTCTCCAATTCGTACGCATTTGGAACAGAAGGCAGGGCGAAGTCATCCATCGTGTTGTTGTAGATGATTCCGCTGATTGGATCCATCACAATTGAACCAAATTCCAGATTCACCGTGGTTGTGATCAAAACAGCCATTCCTTGACTATCAAGAATATTCATGTGTGTTGTACCATGGTCCTCCTTGAATTCGCTATGTTGTATCGTCTTTCGCTCCAGTGGCCTATCAAACGTGATCTTCTTGAACAAATCAGCAGCAAACTCCTCGCTTCGATAGAGCTTCTCAACTTCACTTGGCTCCTTCATTTCGTCAGGGTCTTCTACGTCTCCTCTGTGCATAAACATGAATTTGAATATTTCAATCAGGAAGTGAAAGACGTAGAACTCGTTGTTCACGTTGAGCTTCTTGTAGAACTCCTTCAGATCAAAGAGCTGCAGAATGTTCAATGCCAATGCTACAAATGGTCCAGACGTAGGAAGTGATGCTGTGTACACCGTGTATTCCTTGAACTTGCTTTTGTAGACTGGGCGTATTTTTGCCTCGTATTTCACCAAATCCTCTTTTGTGATGAATCCACCATTTTTCTGGTGGAATTCAGCAATTCGATCAGCCACTTCACCCTTGTAAAATGTGTCTGGATCTGCTGCCACTTTTCTGAGTGTCTGGCCCAGATTCTTCCTGTAAATCACATCTCCTTCTTCACGTAGTTTCCCGTTCTTCGTGTAAATCTCTCTGAATCCCGGATCATTCAACACAGCCTCCTTGTTGTTTTGTAGTTTGAGACTCAACAACAATGAGACTCTGATTCCATTCTCACACATTTCAATTGGTTCTTCCAGTAGCACGGCCCATGGCAGCCTACCATGTCTTTTATGAAGCAAATGAAGGCCTTTGATTTCACCAGGAACCAAAGTTGATTTCAACGTTGTTCTCAGATGATCAGGGTGATCGGCGTAATACGCCTCAGTTGCAGCAAGTGGGGCTGTTTCTCTGAAGTCGATGAACTCGGCATCTTCCCCGTTCTTGATCATCAGAAATCCACCACCCCCAATTCCAGCAGAGAACGAGTTGACTGTTCCAATTGCTATTGCAGTGGCTATGGCCGCATCTGCCGCATTCCCGCCTTTCTTCAGGATGTTCTCGCCAACAGCACTTGCTATCTCGCATTCCGTGTTCACTGCTTCCTTGTAAAAAGTTTGTTTCTTACTCTTTATCAGCATTGGGGCATTTGTTTTGCAAATATCTTTAAAAATGCTACGGGCTGAAACCAGCCTTGTTTTGTTTCCAATGTTCTGCTCCAAATCAACCAGAAAGTTGCCTAAAATCAATAGTCCATCCATGAATAAACATCAGCCTGAATTAAATGAAACCAATGTTATTGTTGTCTGGTCAGTTTCAGAGCATCAACTTGTTCAGCGAGCTCATCCACAGGTGGAAACTCAATGTATTCGCAGGCCAAGTCGTAGAATATCGGAAGAAGGGGCATGTTTCTTTTTGGAACTGTCACTTCTGTGATTCTGTCAAATTCAGCCAATATTAATTTGATCATATCAGATTTGCTTCTGATAATGTGCTGAGATTGATCAGTGATTAGTTCGATGAAGTGGCTGCTGAATTTGGTTTCATTCAACTCTAGGCACATTTTGGAATTTGGTTTCATCAGAGCTTCTGTCATCTGATTCAAGAGATTCGTTAGGCTTCTGTCGTATTCGACAACAAATTCAGAAGAGACAAAATTGTCATCCAGAAATGCGACAAATTCGTTAGTGAAAATGCTGAATGACCTAACGAATGTGAGAATTGTGCCATATTGAGCTGTAGGAAACGTATCCAATTTCTCTCTGAACTCGTCAAATTTGAAGCATTTGAAGGCAATCTGTGCATTGAATCTGTAGTCGTCTTTGAGAACTCGCTTGTTGAACTGTTTGAGCAAATTCAGATGTGTTTGACTGTCAAAGAGCAGCTCAATGTCATTCCATAACAAACGCGTTTTTAATTTGTCCAAATTGACGCGATTTTCATTCAGTGCAACCATGTCACTGTTGAAAGTGTAGTAAAAACCATTGTTGATCATCTTCCATGTTTCAATAAACTCATCCTGATTGAATTCGTTTCTTTTGTTTCTGATGAATGTCTGAATGTACATTCTGTATGCTGTGACATCATCAGTTTGTTCTGCTTTCTTTAGGATGTTTATGCATTTGGTTAAATGTCTAGTTGTTCCAAATAAATGAAATTTGCACAGGTTCTTCTCTAACTTGTAGAGTGTTGTATCTGAGCCATCTTTCATACACTTCTGCACCATCTTGTTGTTATACCGCTTATACTGCTCAAATGAGTGCTTTACGTAGCCGTGATTACTTCTATTTGCCTCGACATGTGCTAATAATTTATTCATGCAATTGGGGTTACAAAAGTGCAAATTTGTCCCAGGCGATTAAAATGACTCAATCGCCCTTCCGTAGCATTTGAATCAGTGCCTGAATTTCATCTTCTGAAAAATTAGTCAGAATGAAAGAGGCGAGTGTTCCCACTGTCTGTGTCTTGATTTCCACAATTCCAGCCAGAAAATAGTATGTGAACCAGATCATAAGTAACTGGCAGTCCATTCGATCTAATACGCCACCATGTCCAGGAAACAACGTACTGAAATCCTTCTTCTTGAAGAACCTTTTTATGACAGATGCAAGAAATCCACCAAATGGTGCCAGAAATGATGCAGCAAGCACAAATGCAACATTGTAGTAGACAAGTGCTGGCTTATTGAGCCATTTGTACGGAAGATTCACTCGTGTCTTCATCACACTGTCCAATTTGTCAGGAAGAATGTTGTAGTCCAATTTCAGTCGAACAAAAATGTATGATGTTATGCACGTGAATACAAATGCACCCAGAAATCCCTCAACTGTTTTCTTAGGACTGAAATGAAAGAGAGGCGTCCTTCCAAAGAGCTTCCCAACCAGATATGCGAATATGTCATTACAGATGATCAGACTTGCTGGATATATCACGTAGAACTTCCCCCGTGCCAGATTCCTGCATGCTGCCTTGAATGTTGCACCCATTATGGTACTAGAAAGATGAATTAATGACAGTTCCACCATCTGCTTCTTCAGCTTCTTTTTCGTGAAATCCATGATGTATTTTATGAATCCACCCAGGTAGAAATAGAAGCCTATGACATCTGGCTTCCATTGGAGAATGAAGTTTCTGCTATTTGGAAAGAAGTAGCTCAAACTCGTTACACTACTATTCATGAAGAGTAGAATGGCCATGTAGTACGTGAGAAATGCGTGTGTGAATCCATGTATGTAGTGCTTAGTGAGATGGAGTATTTCAATTACACATCCCAAGCATATTGCAAAAATGAGTCCAGCCAAGTATCGTACATCTTTCCTACATATCTGGTGGAATACTACAATCATAACTGCACCAAATACACTTCTCTTGATGAAGTTTGACTGTATCAGCTTCTTTATGTCCATTCTGAGTGAGTGGGGTGACAGAATCCTACAAAATTTCGAATCAACTGAAAAATAAAAATTCTCAAACAGGGGGTCGAACCCTGGACCTCCGCGTTATTAGCACGGCGCTCTAACCAACTGAGCTACTCGAGATAAAAAGATGACACTACCGAGTAATATTCAGAACATCTCTTTTCACCCTATGAAACTATCGAATAAAAGAATTCTCATTTCAGGTGGATCTAAGGGAATTGGACGTGAAATCGTGATGTTCCTTCTGGCCAGAGATGCACACGTTACCAGCATCAGTCGCACTCCTTCTGGAATCAACCACAGCAACTTGACTGAAATCAAAATGGATCTGTGCAAAATTCAGGACAATTTTCCAATTCTGCCTGGAGTGCTCTCTCCTTCTTACGACATCCTCATTAACAATGTTGGATACAATCCAGGACTATCCAACTTCTCCAAATTGCAGTACGACCAAATAGCCACCTGTCTCAGTCTCAATGTCACTGTCCACGTCTTCCTGACTAGATTCACCAAATTCAGAAAGGTCGTCTTCATCAATTCGATGCTTGGGCTGATTCAGGTGCCAGAAAATGCGATGTACTGCGCATCAAAGGCATTCATCAACTCATTTGCCAAGACACTTCGACTTGAAGGCGTAGACACCCTCGTGGTTTATCCAGCAAAGGTGGATACAGGCATGTTTGATCAAATCATTGATTTCATGGTTTTGAAGAAGAAGGCCGTAGCACAGGCTGTGGTGACTGGGATATCTCGTGATACCAGAATCATTCGACTGCCATTCTATATTTGGATTCTCGAACTGATTGAGACCATTGTGCCCACGGTGATCTATAACTATTTTGGCACCAAATTATACAGATTATTCAAGAAGAAATAGAGGCTTCTCTTGATTCTGTGACTTCATCAGGCTCATTAATAGTTTCACTATTTCTAAAGGTGCTATTCTTCTCCCACTCCTTCATCAACAATGCTCCTAGCATGCAGCATATCACAATAATCAGCAATTTGATTGCCTTGTCTTTTAATCTAACAAATCGCTTTGGTATTTTTCTGATTTCTTCATTCGCCAAATCCAAATATCGATTTGTGTTCTCAAAGTAGCGATCAAGTGAATCAATTGAAAGAGACTGCTCCTTCAGGTTGATCTTCATCTCTGCCAATGTGTTGGAGATGTTTAGAAGACTCTGGTTGATCAGTTCATTTGAATTGGTTTTGAGTTGTAGTTCAAACATGTTGTTATCAAATGTGGCTGTTGGGCTATTGACACTGTTGAGAATCTCAAAGGAACTTGTTCTATGAATGTTGTCCCTGATGATGTTTCGATATCGAATCATTGCTCGTTCAAGCTGCTGTGTGAAATATTCAATGAATATCACTCTGATACTTCTGTAACTGATTTCTGTAGCAAACTCTGATATTTCATTTCTGATACTCTGATGAATTTGATCAATATTGGATTTAGTTGCTTCAATCCTGGCAATTCGTGCACTATTCTCACTGAAACATGGGAGATTCTCCTTCTTAAGTAATCTGTCATATTCATTAACAGAATTCTCCAACTTCTCCAAGTTTCGCTTAATAAATCCACAATCTAATCCAGCACATTTTTCATTGACTCGCGTATCCCCTGTGTTTCTCTGTCTCACTAGCTCTAGTGTTCTACACTTGATCATCTGTTTGTTGTTGTAGTGATATTTATAGTCTGTTTCAGAATTGATTAAATATCTTTACCATTAAATCGTATACTAAATCTGCTGTATTCCCTTGATACCTGAAGTATCCCACTCTCACACTCAATAAAATATTCAGGTGGAAATCCATCATCAAATGGCTCTTGATCTTTGTAAAGAATGTTGTTCCAATCAATTTCATGTTGTAGAAACTGTTCTACTGAATATGTACTACAACAGAGATTGATCCAATGACTATTTCTACTATTCAGTTCATATACGTTATCGTAATCATACTCATACAACTTCTGTAAAACAAACTCACCATACTTGTCTTCTACTCTTCTGACTCGATTTGCATTATTTGTGATAGTGATCACCTGATTGTTGCAATTGGAATGCTTCTTGATTGTTTCGTACCTATTCAATACTTTCAGTTTATCCAACAAATTGCCCTGTCTTTTTACCAGATCGAGTTGTGCACTGAGTTCAATCCCGCAGTGTGTTATTTTTATTTCCAGTGTTTTTAAGTCAAGAAGTGGCATTTCTTCTTCTTTCTTCAACAGTGTCTCGTACGTCACAAAGATCTTGTCATCCAGAAATATCCGTAGCTCATTATCTCGCACTCTTATCATTCCACCATCAGCAAGGCGCTTTATGTTGCATTCTACTTCTGCCTCTTTTTCAATCATCTGCCTCATCTTTTCAATACTGTTTTGTTGAATCTTCAATACTTCCTGTTGAATGAACTTCTTGGAATTGAATGTGTTTCCAGGTAATTTCATATCACAATATTTTGTTTCCTTCAACACATTCATGTTAATCAAGCCACATACTTTCAAAAATAACTCATTTTCCATATTAGCCTGTTTCATCATATCGACGTGACTAATTTGTGCCTTTTCTGTTGCAGCCCACCTTCTCCACTCCTTTTCCAATGCTGTGCTGCTTCTACGAAACCTCGTTCCATTCTCTTCTGCTGTCTCTATCTCCATGACATTGAAATCCTTCATGTTTATGCTCTCATTTTTCTTCAACTCATTTTCATCCATTTCCAGGCTGAATTTTTGACCATTTTAACCATTTTAACCTTTTTGACCATTTTTAGACCATGAAATCCATTAGAACATCCAGATACTTCGAGGTTACATTCTACGATAGGCTGTGTCTCGAAGATACACCGATTCTCTCCTACGAAGTATTCAAGAACTACGCCATTGAAAGACTCAGATTGTTGCGCAAAATTGAGAACAATATCAAGGACACCAGTAGAATCACAAATCTGCGACACGATCTCATGACACATTTCTCACTGCGTCTAGTCGCAGTCCAGGCCTCCTGGTCCATGGATTGGCTTATTTCGACTGAAACGAAGCTATTCATGCATCGTATAGACAAAATGGCACCTGAAGAATTTGAAAGCTTCTACAGGTACCGCTTTCTGGTTCACTACGTGAATGATACTGGTACAGTTGCAGACAAAAGACTCAAGAAGGATGTAACTGATCGAGTCCTTAAGGGTGGATTCTACGATCCAGACACGTCTCTAGATCCAATTGACTATGAATGGATCCATTTCAGCAAGTGTTCCAGAATAATTGGCCGCCGTCTCTACAAAATGGAAGGTGGCTTTGTTCCAGCCAGAACTCAGGCTGTCAAAGAGCTCATTGCTACTGAATTTGCCAACTTCATGCGCAGAGAGACAGAAAGACTCTTCCACGAGCTGAATGGAGACGAGCGCCTTGAGAGACTCCATAGCGACATCTTCATGCAGGATGTCACAGGCACCAGTGCTCCTACGACCAGCCTTGCCGTAGAATCGATCAATCAGGCCCACATGCCTCCTTGTATTCTCCTGCTTTATCAGAGACTCCAAAAAGAGGGCCACCTGAAATTCAACGACAGAAATCTCCTGACGCTGTTTCTGAAGGATCTTGGAGTCCCCGTAGCAGATGCGATCGTCTATCTCAGAGGCCACTTGCCCAGAATGAAGGAGAAGGAGCTCGTCTACAACACCCGTCACAACTATGGCCTGGAAGGGAAGAGAGCCAACTACACCTGTTTCAGCTGCCATAAGATGCTTGGGCTTTCTGGTGATGAATCAAACGTAGGATGCCCATTCGTGAACAATAAGGCATTTGCGGGGCAGTTTGTCGATATCGAAGACAGCGATGCCCTGAAAAGCTGTAGAAAGTACGCGGCACTGCTGATAGACGATGAGAACATCGGTGCTGTTGATTTGACAATCAGGTCACCAAGTGAGTTCTACAAGGTCGTAGAAAGAAACAAAAAGAGTCCTGAATGAGATGCTGATTTTGATGACCTGACTAAATTAATTCAACCAGCTCCCTGGTGACTGTTTCACTGCATTCGTTGCTCAATTCAAGTTGCCCACACAATTTGAAGAGTCGTTTCGCCTTGATCTTGTCCTGAGACTCTCTGATTTGTGCAACTGCCTTGTTGAAGATGTGTTCGATGATGAATTTGAATCTGATCAGGTTGTCATCAGTGGTGAAGAGAACCAGATTGTTCAAATTGACTGGATTTGGGTTGAAGTTGAATTCGTAGAATGGGATCAGTGCAGCCAGAATGGTACTGGTTGAATCGATCTTATTCAAATCAATTTCAAGTTTCTCATCAGTCAGAATGGCCTGCTCAAGAACGTCTTCAACAATGTGCTGGCTCGTGGAAATGTCAAGGAGACTCGCAAATTCAAGCAGTTTGCGACTGTTTGTTGCCTTAAGATGCTCCACGGTGCGACTGAAGATGCTACTGCTCAGACATGGGTTTCTGATCAGATCATACAACTCGTATTTGATCAAATATTCAGGAATTAATTTGACGTATTCCTCGTTGTTCTGGATCAAATCCATCAAGTTGAGCTTGTTTTCCATTTTGCTCATTTTCTGAGTCACAGCAAAAAAGAAGTTCATAAAGACGCGTGTCTGTTTGGAGCTCTCTGTTTTGGATGAGTAGCTTCGTAACGAGAGCATCGAGGTGGACTCTTCGGCGTGGCCGTAGACACTGTCAGCCAGGCACAGCTGGTGCAAAATGTGGAATTTGGCAACAAGTTCGAAATCAGATTTGAGTAGAATCTTTGCAGCTGCCTTTGTGTCTTTGTTGAACAAATTCACTAGCAGCTGAATCTTCTTGTTCTCAAAATCATCAGATTCCAGTTTTCTATTACACTGTAACAGCGTATACAGGTAGTCTTCAACTGTTGAAACAACAACACCATCAGAAATCACATTCTTACGTGTCAGACTACAAAGATACATCTTGAATTTGTCTTCAGCCATTGTACAGACAACCATGTCGAATTTGGAATGATCAAGGTAGTTAGTGAAATTGTCTCCAAAATTGGAATGGATGCCATTGAAGAAGTGACTGAATTGAGAAAGCAATTCCTTAGCATCTTCTATTCGTCCTAATCTGAGAAGACAGTATAATTCAGCAAAAAGATACCTGTCTTCAAAAACAGCCATATTGAACTCATTCTTGCTGTATTTGAGACGGACAAAGTCTCTGACAAGTTCCAGTGCATTTTTGCTTTCTGGTCCACCATTCTGCTTCATGAATCTCATTACAAACTTCTCATAGGCTCGTGCTAGAAACTGCTGGGGTTCCATATTCTGATTCACATAAACAAACATGTCATGCATGAATTCATCTCCAAAAGTAACAGGTGATGGAGTTTGAAAAAGACGTTCTTCTGTGTTTGCCTTCATGATGACATTGATTGAGTCCATTTCAACTTCTTCTTTCCTTGCTGTTAGTTTTTCTGCTACAAATTTATCAGAATCCTTTAAGACTCTTTCAATGCTCTTTTTATGCTTATCCACTAATTTATGCTCAAGAAACCCCTGAATCACCTCAGAATAGTCAAATTTGTCACTGCTCTCTTTGTAGAGCACTTTGGTGCTTGGAATGTACTTAGTTGCATATTTCTCATTCTTCTTCTGCTTCATCTTCAACAACACAATCGCATGCGTGATGTTGTTGATTCTGTTTGGCTTTTGAACGTATGGTGCTATTTTTGAAGTAGTCGTCATTGAATGGGTTAAAAAGTTTCTTTACGAATTTCATCATTTTTCATAGCGGGTTTCCACCTGAGTATCACTCAAATCCAACATTTTGAACTTTCTGATATTCTTCACAACTTTCAGGCCAGTATTATTGTTCAACAAGAGAGTCTCGACCGAATCTGGTAGTAAATCACAGTCAAACTCCGTCAGCTTGTTATACTGCAAATCCACCAACTTCAATTTGGTTTTGCTCCTCAAATCCACTTCAAACCATTTCAGACCGTTTGCACCAATAAACAGTTCTTCAATTGATTCAGGAAGATCCTTCAGGTTCTCGATCTCCTTGAGCCTGTTGTTTGCTATGTCAAACTTCTTCAATTTATGTAAGTCCTTTATGCTTGGTGGTATTACCGAAATATCATTTGCCATCAAATACAACTCGGTTATTGTTGGGTTTGTGATGCTATCAAAGTGTTTCAATAGGTTGTATCCCAAATCCAGTACGTCAATTCCACTAAACCTGGATACATCCACATTTCCTATCAGGTTATCTGAGACATCCAGATACTCTACGGTGTCACAGACATCTTTAGGTATCTCTTTGAGCTGGTTGCGCCTAAGTGAGATTGCCTTGTACTCTTTACCAATCATTATTGGACTATCACGCATGTTATTGTGGTTGAATTGCTCTTCATCGTCGTATTTGTCCATGATATTTGTTTAAGGGTGAATATTTTCAAAATAATTCTCATTCTTGTCAAAAATAGAAGCTGAATCTGTTTTAAATCATTAATGTCTTTCTCTTTCACGAGGTGGATGGACAATTATCCCATCACACTTCAGCAGTGCCTGTGCTGTCTCACATGCTGCTCTTAATACACGCATTTTCATCGTAAATCCTTCAATAACACGCAACTGTTTCATATCAGCTGGATTCCCCGTATTCACGTCCAATCCCCGTGCGAAACTGTTTTTCTGATACGTAGTTCTCGTGTTGTACAGTGGAACCAAGGCACTTCTGAACTTCACTGGATCAAATCCGCAATTTTCACAAAGAAGCTCCACAAATTCGAAAAGTGCCTGGGAGAAGACGGCTGGTCCCTCGCTCTCTACTGTCTTCATCTCTTGCGACAACTTCTGTAACTCCAATGCCAACATCACCTCTGTGCTTCCACCACCATACAATACAAATACATCCTTTTTTATTCTTTTCAATACGCATAATGCATCATGAATTGATCGTTCTGTCTCCTCCAACACGGCACTGCTGCTACCGTAAATCACAATCGTGGATGCGCCCTTCTTTGCCCCTGTGAATCTCGTGAATGTTTTGCCCTTCAACAAAACTCGTTCAATCTTCCCACAGGTTCCTGTGATGCTCTCACCTTTTTCACCGTAAAAATGACTGGTCACTTTTCCGCCCAGAATTTTGTTCAATTTCTCCACGTTTCCAAAATCAGCATTTTCGATGACGTGTTTTCCATGGCCCAGAAGCAGCTGCATTGGAAAGTCGTAGATGATCTGCCTGTTGATAATCAGATCAAATTCAATCAAACAGACTCTGTCAATCTTCTCCATCATCCTTTGCTTCTCTGCCTCCTCCACTTTCTCCAGTTCCGAAATCGAATCAACTTCAATTTTGCTGCTGAATATTTTGATCTTATCAAAATCAAGAGCTGTGTTTGCAACAAGAACCCTTGGATTGGTCAATTCAGTTCTATCATCTGCAAAATGGATTTCCTTGTCTATCACTAGTCCATCAACCCAGATGCTCTCTGATAGATCTCCTTTCAATTTCACAATATTGATCAAATTCAGATCAATATCCCCTGTCAAATTGTCAACTGAATCCATGCATATTTTCACGAATTTATCCAGGTGACTGTTGAGTATCTTGCTATTCAAAGTGGTACGAACAAGGCTCTCTACGTCATCACGAGTTGCTTGCACCTTCTTGTGCTGCAGAATCTCCTCAATCTTTGCAATTGCATGGCCCAATCCTCTGCTAATGAAAGCAGGGCGTACCTTTGATTCATAGGCGTATTTCAGAATCAGAGACGCAATGAGAACGATACTTGTGGTTCCATCTCCCTCTTCAAAGTCCTGTGTCTTAGACGACTCTACCAGAACTCTGGCACACGCTGACTCAATTCGCAGATTCTTCAAGACGAATGCCCCGTCATTTGTCACTGCATGCTCTTTGCCTTGTAGAATCTTCATATTTCCCTTTGGTCCCAGAGTTCCCTTCATCACATCCAACAATACGCCTGTTGTGGACTTAATGTATCTGTATGCTTCATCTCCGTACATTTCTTCAGCATTACCAGGATTTGCTGTGAACAATTCAAGTCGTTGATTATCCATGGGGTTGATTTGTTCACTACAAATTTTTACAACTCAGGTGAATGTGATTTTATTGCCAATCTATCACATTTTTGGTTTTATGGTGTAGTGGTTAGCACTTAGGACTTTGAATCCTACGACCAGAGTTCGAATCTCTGTAGAACCGTTTTTTTCAACTACCCCAATTTCAATTCATCCTCCTCTGAAACACCTGTTTGTCTCCCTCAAAATAGTCATAGACTGGAAATCCCATCTTTTTGTAAAAGAAGTTCTCATTCTGTTTCTCACCACTCTTCTTATTCTCTTCCTCTTGACTCATCTTACTAACTTGTGTGAAGTCATGTTCTCGCACATTCAGATGTTCTGAATCATCACTGTAATTTCTCTCATAATCTCTACCATAATCCATGCGTTATATGGGTTAAATATTAAACAATTATCTTAGCATTTATTTGAATGGGTGTCCCATGTATTTCACACCAATTCTCCTGAGTGCATAGACCACATCCTGGCAGTTGATGGTTTTCCTCTTTGCGTGGGTGCAATAGACCTTACACGAATCAAGCACTGCTGTCAAATATGCATTCGTAAGAGTATTCACTTCTGGGAAGCATCCTCTTCCCACACGTTGTGCTCCGCCCCTTCTTGCAAGTCTCCTGATTGCTGGTCCAGCCAACTTCGTGCTCGTTGCCGTCTGCTTTCTGTGTCTCTTTGCTGAGCCACCCTTTGCGCTCTTTGCTCCTTTACCTTTTCCTGCTGCTACTGGTTGTGTTACCATGGGGTCATTTTTCTCTCTGTTTTTATACCGATTTTAGGAGGGAAAACGCCTGAAACATTTGCAAGGAGGGATTCCTTTTTGCCCTGATATTTTCCCTCCTAAAAACATTTAAATAGTCTCAGAATCAGAGCCCATGCCTCGTACTAAGCAATTCAGTCACTCACAGACAGCAGGAAAGAAGCTCATTGAGCTCACACCAAACAGAAAGGGCTCTGTATACAAGCCAGCTGCCACCTTGTCTCAGACAAAGAAGCGTGTGCCTGGAAACAAGGCATTGGCCGAGGTCAAGAAGTATCAAAGAAGCACAGCACTGTTGGTGCGTCTTGCTGCATTCAAACGCATCGTAAGACATTGCATGGGCAGTATAGAACAAGGACAAGAACTCAGATTCCAGAAAGCAGCATTTCTGACACTTCAAAGCGCATATGAGGCATTCATGACAGACGTCCTTGAAGATGCATGCAGGTTGACTGTTCATGCCAAGAGGAAGACACTCTTCAGGGCTGATATTCAACTCACCTACAAAATCAAGTACAAGTACGATCTGATTCCAAGCATGACTGAATAAAATGTTTTTTATTTCCTCTTTTAACCCATTATGCCTGAGCTAATTGTTCTACAGACACACGTTGACTACAATTCATTCCAGCAGTCACCAGAACAGCAGTTTCCAATGGTTCGGATCTTTGGAAAGACGGTGGAAGGCGTATCAGTCCAGATAACAGTCGATGATTTCTCACCGTACTTCTACGTTCAGCCAGACCAGGATTTGGACATAAACGAACTAGAAGACTTTCTAAAGAGCAATTTCACGAAAGGAAGATGCATTGGAATTCAAAAGGAGTTGAAACAGAACATCTACGGCTATTCCGTGGAGAAGACAGTCTTTTACAAGATCCATTTCAACTTGCCAAATGTTTTCAAGGCAGCAAAAGAATTCTTTGAAAAGGGCCTGAATTTCGGCAACAAATTCGTGAAATTCAGGGTCTTTGAATCGCAATTTCCCTTTGTTTTGAGATTCATGCACGATCTAAACATCACCGGAATGAGTTACATCAAAATCAAGGCGTATAAAGAAAACAAGTCGACCAAGAAGAACAAGACGCTTTCAATCACGACCTCTCACACGCTCATCGAGGCCCTTCCTCTCCAAGGCAACTGGATCAAGGTGATTCCACTCAAAATAGTGAGCTTTGACATTGAGTGCTGTGGTGAGACTGATTCATTTCCCAATTCACTGGTTGATCCTGTGATTCAGATTGGAAACAGCCTGCAAATGACGACAGGTGGAGAAATCCAAAATGACATTTTCTGCCTGAAGGAAGTTGGAGAAATCCCAGGCGCAAATGTGCACTGGTTTGAGACAGAGGCGGAGCTGCTGATGGCCTGGTCCGGATACATCCGGAAGACAGACCCGGACATTCTGCTTGGCTACAACATCAAGAACTTTGATTTCCAGTATCTGCTTGAGCGAGCTGATCAGCTGAATCTGAAGGAGTTTGGCCTCCTGGGCCGAACTGAAAAGGCAACCAAAATCAGCAAAAAGACGCAGAGCTCCTCCTCGTTTGGCTCCATCGAAACCTATGACGTCACAGTCGAAGGCCGCCTCATTTTCGATCTCTTTCTCATTTTGAAGAGGGAGCATAAACTGAGGAGCTACTCGCTGAATGCGGTCTCAGTGCACTTCCTGGGGGAGCAGAAGGAGGATGTTCCGTACTCCTCGATGCACAAGCTGCAGCGAGAGAGCAAGGAGACGCGTAGGCGAATTGCCACGTACTGCCTGAAGGACACGCTTCTTCCTCTTCGCATCTTTGAGCGCCTCAACGTGTTTGTGAACTACGTGGAGCTGGCCAGGGCCACTCACGTCCCAATCGAGTTCTTCAGCACCAGAGGAGCCAGCGTGAAGGTGCTCTCTTTGCTCTACAAGGAGGCAGCTGCCTCTGGCTACGCAATTCCAGACATGGACAGGCAGGAGAACAGCCCCACTTTCGAAGGTGCCTTTGTGATGGATCCAATTCGGGGCTTCTACGACACGCCCATCGCAGTCCTCGACTTCTGCTCGCTCTATCCAAGCATCATCATCTCCAAGAACCTCTGCTACACGACACTTCTGCCCAAGAATGTCTCAAAACACGCCGTGAAACCAGAAGAGGCGTCTCAGTCTCCAAGTGGCGACCATTTCGTCAAACACGAAGTCAAAGAAGGCCTCCTTCCGAACATTCTGAGGCGACTGCTTGAAAACAGGAAAAAGACGAAGAAGGCGCTGAAAGAGGCGACTGAGCCGTGGCTACGAAAGTCGCTTGACGGAAGGCAGCTCGCCCTGAAGGTCTGTGCCAACTCGATCTACGGCTTCACAGGCGCAGCCCTGGGCCAGCTGCCCTGCGTTGAGATCTCCCAGAGCACCACGGCCTACGGTAGAGAAATGATCGCAAAGACGAAGGAAATGATCGAAGGCGATTTCTCGAAGAAGAACGGTTTCTCTCACGACACCGTGGTGATCTACGGTGACACTGATTCAGTGATGCTCAATTTCAGTGAGCCAGACAGGGCTATCGTCTTCAAAATGGCCCAGGAGATTGCAATTCGCGTCTCAGACGTCTTCGAGAAGCCAATCAAACTCGAATTCGAGAAGGCGTATCATCCGTACATTTTGATGAACAAGAAGAGATACGCTGGACTGATTTACACGAACAGCGAGAAGCCAGATCGAATTGACACGAAGGGGATTGAGACAGTGAGACGAGACAACTGCGAATTGGTCAAAAAGATCATTGATGGCTGCCTGAAGATGATTCTGGAGCAGAGAGACGTCCTGGGGGCAGCCCAGCTTGTTCGATCAAGCGTATCCGACCTGTTTTGTGATCGAGTTGATCTGAGTCAGCTTGTGATTTCGAAGACGTACACGAAGGCGAATTACGCCGTGAAGGTAGCCCACGTGGAACTGGTGAGTCGTCTACGAGAACGAGGCCTCGAAGTTCGAATTGGTGATCGAATTCCATACGTCATCGTATGCAAAGAGAAGAAGAGCAAACTGTACGAGAAGGCAGAGGATCCAGTCTACGCCTTGGAGCACAACCTGGCAATTGATATCGAATATTACATTGAGAATCAGTTGAGTAAGCCAATTAAGAGACTATTTGATCCAATCATGGACAACGTGGGTGACTTATTCACGGTGAAGGAGATCGTGAGGGAGATAGGCGTAGTTGGGCCAATGAATCGGTTTCTGACGAAGGCGGAGCAATGCATCGGCTGCAATAGAACAGGGCGGATTCTCTGTTCCAGTTGCATGGAGCTGTTTCCAAAGCATCTGGCACGGCTTCAGGAAAACTACGACAAAAAGATCAAAAAGTATCACGAGTGTTGGACTGAGTGTCAGAGATGCATGGGATCGGTGATGACTGAGGTGATTTGTACAAACAGAGACTGTCCGATATTCTACATGCGTATGAAAGTGAAGAAGGAATTGGAACCAATGGAAGAGAAGATGACCAGGATGAGGGAATTGGATTGGTGACTACGGTGATTTATTCTGCCTGGATTTGAAGTTTCGTTGCATTTCAGGGCCATTGGCGACGAGCTCGGCCTCGCCGACCTCGTCCGCAAGCGACTCGATCTGCTCAATTGCAATTTTGACGTTGTTTGGGTCGAGCTTGTCCTCTCTGATTCGATGTAGAACCCATCCCCCTTTGCTGAAGGTGCCATCTTCCTCAAGAACCTCTTTTTCTGAATCAAATCCAAATTCACCAATTGATCCATCAGACAGTCTCTCCCTGATATTCGAAAATGATTCACCTGAATTCTGGAAGTCGCCTTCAGTCAGAAAATAGCGGCCCAATTCAATTTCAGTGGGGCAGTTGGCTCCCTTCACAAAAAGTCGAAACTGCTCTGGGCAGATTGTGCAGAAGAGGCCGAACAACTTTGGGAAGATTGGCCTGATTTTGAAATCGATCGTATTCAGGTGAGGTGGCTTCCACTTGAGAATTCTGCTTATGGCGTAGAGAGCATATGGATCACTGACAGGCGTGAAGATCAGTCCATCATTCTTGTGATCAAATGAGCTGATTGCATCCAGAATTGATTTGAATGCGTAAGATTTGATGAATGTTTTGAAGACAATTTTGAATTTGATGAGGGCTGAATCACGGTGGGAGGAGCGGAAGGTGTTGGCAAATGACTGGCACAGGCTGAGTCTCTCAATCAGGTTCCTTTTTAGCACAGATTTCCCATCAAAAATCAGTACGTCAAAAATGGCAAAGACGAAGGTGTCCTTGGTTCGGTACATTTCACCATCAAAGAGAAATGGGGCTTTGGTTCTGGTGTTTATGCAAGTCATGTGGAATTTGTTCGTTCTATCGTAGAGATAGGTGAATTGACCACTTAACAGGAGCATGACACGTATTCCATCACTCTTCTCACAGACCAAATAGTCCTCGTTGAGCAGGAGATCCAAGCGCTCTCTGTTTAGAGCAACAGGGTGGTGGCCAATGAAGCTCTTGAATTCGACAATGCCGAGTGTCTGCTTCAGAATGTCAATGAGATTGTTGTGATGGATGTTGTTGGGCTCAATTGGAGCACCAAACATCTCCGTTTTGAGTTCTTCACTGGTCATTTTCTGGGGCATTTGGATTTTATGCAATATGCAAATTTGTTTATTGGATTTTATGCAAATTCAACTTCATCTGGTACCACAAAGAGAGTCAAAGTGGCTTCAGTCTTATCCAGTTGAACTCCATTGCACTCATCGTAGAATTTCTCAGCATCTCCCACTTTCTTGAATGTTACGCAATAAAATGACTCGTCTTTATAGCAAACTTCCTCTGCTTCTCCTGAATCACCCACAAAACTGGCTACAATCTCAGAAAGTATCTTCAAGTTTAGCACATCTACTCCACTCGTCTTCACTGCAATACGATTTGTGAAATTTTTTGTCATTTTGGTCTAAAAATCCAATTTTTCTAAAACCTTTTACTCATTTAATCCCATCCCATGTCTGTTAAGTGCAAACTCATTCTCAAAGACGTAGAAAACATTGCGAGACAGCTTAATCTGCATCTTGATGCTGATATGATCTCCTATATATCACAGAAGACAGAAGAAACACTACTAGGAATCATTAATGAAGCAGAGAAAAATGCCAAAAATAACAGGCACAAAACAGTCTCTAAAGATGACGTCATTTGTGTAATTTCATCTCGCAGCTTCCCCTTTCATCTCTCCTAATACTTCATTATAACTGAGCGAATCAAAAGCAATAAAATTTGACCCTTTATGGCAGCAACTCGCATTTTAACCACTGAAGAAGACATTTACGAGAAGCACAAGAATCACACGTTCTCATTCAAGAACGTCTCATTCAAATTCGCAATGAAGCTGTTCTTCCAGATCGTGCTGATCTTCATCCTGTTTATACTGATTCTATTTGGGATATCGTCTCTCTACATAGTCTTCTATCGAATTGAGGACCATGGAGACCATAACATCCCCATAATTGCAATCCGAAACCAGGCGAAAGTAAAGATCACGAAAATGTTCGAGTATCAGACAGGTGATGATTTCAGAGGCGTAGAATACTATGGAAAAGAGGATCTGTTCAATAGATTTGTGAATGAGATGTCAATGAAGGTGCATCATA